TTATGGGTTTTTTTTTGTTTGCCTTTTAGTTGTTTGTTTTAAACACAAAACCTCACAAAGGATGTACTTCACCAAGAACATACACCCTATATTGAGTGACGGCACAAAAAGAATAACACAACAACACACAACAATTTCAACACCCAGGAGTGTAAATTATATTTGGGGGGAAATTAGAACCCAATATTCCCCCACAGTCCAACACAATAAAAAAATCTGTTCAGTTTAGTTGGTAACACAAATGTAGCTCACTTAGCCTAAAAAACTTAAAAAAGAAATTAGAATAAAAGAATAAAGTTTACTCACAGTCCTTACAGTCTGTTACTTCTCTGTTAGTTTAGTCTGTCCGTCAAAGTCAGTCCAGTCCAGTCAGTCGGCAGATCCAGTCCGGGTTTTTGCTGCTGCAGGCTGTTGGTGTGTGGATACTGACCGACTTCGAGAAACAGGTGACAGGCTGTGAATGGCAAGTAATCCAGAGAATGCGAACTCTGTTTTGGAGTGGAGGTTGATCAGAGGATGGCAGGTGAAACGTGAAAGGGATTAATGGCCTAGCCTTGTTTCTGATACCGCACAATGCTGCTACAAGAGATTGCTGCCAAAAGAAATTTCGTTGTATATTTTTGTACAATGACAATAAAGCTTCTTATCTTATCAATGGGTGTGCTGCACCGACATACAGACTCTTTCTTGCTGCTGCCTCTGCCCCCGACATGAATGACTGATATAGGGAAGTTGAATAATGGTGCCATCAGTCAACAAATTGGTGAGTAGGTGGGTGTGACTGTGGGAGCTCTTGGGGTGTGTATAGACCCTTTTACTGTTAGTAAACAGTATGACATTTTTTGGTGGGTGGGGGTTAGCTGGAGGCAAAACAATTCTCCACAGACATTGGCCAGCCTAGGTAGTGAGTTCTGTTGGCTTGTTTTAGACAATGAAGGAAGATGATATGAGTGGTGCATTCGGAAATACTCACTCTGAGCGCCAGCACACACTCTGGCACAAACTAGATTGTTCGTAAATTCGGAGCGGTGTCTGAATGTATTGTTTGGTTATTCAGAACACCGCACTCTTAGGTGGCAGAGCACACTCTTGGCACTCTGCAGAGTGCGTGATTAACTTACCCGTTCTGTAATTTACACAGAAATATAATGCTCTGTTTCTTCTATCATCAGGGCTCTAATCTTCGTGTAGAGCGTCAGACTGAATTTACAATGCACCATACGTTCGTTTACATGGAGCCATGTATTCCTTTTGCATTTGGGTTGGAAGCCCTACCCGAATAGAAATGCTCCTTGTAAACACCTCAACCCGAATGAAAACAGCCAACCCGAAAGAAAATCTAATCGGGTGCACAGGGGTGGAATATTCCTTTTCAGAACCCGAATGGAAGAATTTTTCTGTCTTGTATACACCTCCTACCCGATTCCAGCCATTCCGTTCTTTCTTTCCGGACCGCGAGTGTTACTTGAATCAGTAAACACTGACCAACGGGACCAGATTGGCCTTACCGTGTGCTCTCACTCCCTCTCACAGTGGATGGATGATTGACAGGATTGCTGAAGGTGGGATGGCAGGCTTTGTGGTTGATTACTATGCCAATCCTACAAAGGAGGATGACACTTGACCTACAGTTTGTTTTGCCATCAAAGCAAACGTTAGCTAATGCACTAAAAAGTTTGCGTTACAGAGAAATCCAATATTCCTCTTAGTACCTCCCCAATTTCTGATTATGTGGACATGATAACCCTTATTACACGTAACAAACTAGTGTGCTAGAAAGTTAGCATAACAGAGAAGTCCAAAATTCCTGTCAATAACTCCCCAATTTCTTAGTAGGTGGACATGATAACCCTTAATACACATAACATTATTGATCCCTACAAGAGTAAATACTTTTCCCCCTACCCTGATATGAAGTGTGTGCTGCACATGCAAACATTTTTGATGATCACCTCTGTCCACTCCTTTGTCTTATTGCATTTAGCCATAGTTGTCTAAGTTTTTGTTGATGGGCAATGGCAACTGGTATGCGATAAAATCTAAGTTTTGAGCCATGACTCCATCTACTCTGGCTCCCAATAATACAAGACGACATTTCAAGACTCCTATGTAGCCTACAGCCCTGTGGTGGCGAGTTGTGTTTTGCCTCCAGCTAACAAACTGATGTCATTGTGACGTCTGCCTTAAAAGGGTCTATACGGGAGGTGCAACCTAATGGAAAAATACAGGTTGTCACAAGCCACAGAGTCTTTAGTCACTTTTCAATGACCTAATTACCCTTACAACATTCACCTTTTAGGCCTTCTGTCATTAACAATCAGGACATACAATTCCCTACAGGCACAGACTCACCAACAGACATAGATTAACCGAATGTCTTCTCAAAAGTTAACCTCACTGCAGGTATTGTCTGTGTCGGGTACAGCCCACAGCTGCCCCAGAATCTACCACCCTGTAGTGGCACTGTGGATCAAATAGAACTCACCACAGTCTTTCTCCGTCAAATCCCTAACCCACTAATCATAGCAAAACCATCAATCTTACAATCATTTAAAAAACTCATAGGTGAAACAAATCATAAAAAGTTAATAAAAATCACAACATTATAGAATCATAGAATTGTAAAACTATAAATAAAATAAAGTGAGATTTTAAGAGTTGCAGCAGTGTGAAGGATAAAAATATCTTGTCAAATCATCCATTCATCCATCCATCCATCCATCCACTAGAGTGAGTGACCTGATGACCTACACTAAATTGAGAGTCCTGTTGATTGAAAAAATGTAGCATTCCATTTCTACATGAATTAACAAACAGTTAAGTTCATCATTAATTCACTCTCTGCTGCTCCATCTTCCCAGACAGATTGCCTGGACTGTGCTCTGCCACTCCAAAAGTGCGGTGCTCTGGATAACCGAACGGTACATTCAGACAGTGCTCTGAATTTACAAACAGGCCAGTTTGTGCCAGAATGTGCTCCGGCACTTGGAATTAGTATTTCTGCACGCACCCTATTCAGAGAGACTTGTATCATCTTCCTCCATTGTCGAAAACAAGCCAACAGAACTAGCTAGCTAGCACCAGCTAATGTCTATGGAGAGCTGTTTTGACTTCAGCTAACCCCCGGCCACCAAAAAACAAAACACTTTTTACTGGGGTTTAAGTAAAACGGTTTGTAGGAGAAAATGCACAGATCTGCATTTGTAAGTAACTGAGTCAGTTCATAATCTGGTACAAGTCTTTCTGATCTTGAGCTGACAGAACAAGTCATTGAGCATGAACCTGTGGCAAAACCTTTTTTTTTCAAGGTGAACTCTATACATTAACTCATTTTCTAGATATAAATCACTTTTCTTTACAGGAACCTATAGAAAAATGTTTTATCTTAGTATGTATCACAATCTTTAACAGTAACCTTTTCAATTCATATACATTACATACTAATCAATGATAATAATACAGTATAAAAATATAATAATACAAATAATACAGTAAAACAGAACAATGCACTTCAAAGACCAATTCAATTTCACTAAGATAAGATTTAAGATACAAAGTTATTTAAAAACTTCCCAAACAATCATATGAATCCTTTTTAATTTCAAACAGTGTTTCCCACAGGATTGTTGGAGACTATGGGGGGTGTCCAAACCTTCTAGCGGTGTCCGGAGGCATTCTCCTCCGGTAGGAAATTTTGTATATATTTGATTTAAAAGCATCAATCAGGTGAAGTTATGATGGCAGAATATGCGCACCGCCGCTGCTGGGTTTTTTTTTTTTTGTCTTAGCTCTTCAGAAACTACAGTTATATTATTTGGCGCTACAGATGCGTCATATCCAGGCCTATATAACAGGTCTATACCTTGTCCTTTTATTAAACAAACTAAATAGCCTTATGTTATTGATCTTATTTACATAACGGCATGTCATTTGTCTCTACATGGTCGCGCCTTTACAATTCTCCTCTGCTCTCTGTATCGCGCACAGCAGAGTTTCGCCCCGATGTGCACGCACACACACGCACACGCGTGCGCGCGCGCACACACACACACACACACACAGAGGTGAGCACTCTAGAGCGCGGCCCAGGCCGCATTTTCCTGTCCAAATCTGACCCACGTAAATAAAAAAATTCCAGCACTTGAATAGGCCATAGCACAACACAGCAGCATATCAAGTGGGCCGAACCCGAGCAAAATTTTTGACTTGCTATCCGTCCCCACCCGTAGTTGAACGCCAGGACAGGACAGGCCCATTTATGGCAACCCTCAGGTAGGCAGCTAGATGCTCTCCCTGCAGCCTGTTGCGGAGATCAGTTTTGACCTGCAAAGTAAAGTAAGCCAAAAAAAATTCTAGGTGCTCGAGTCCGTGCACTACAGAGTGACATTCATTTACCTGAGGCATTTTATATCTGGCTGATTTTTGGAGACTATGGCGGGGCAAATTAGACTATGTATGGGAAACACTGTTAAAGTAAGAGCACATCATTTTCTACTGTTATAGACAAACAGTAAATTTAAGATTAGTCAAACTTGTGTTTAAAGAACAAAATTAGCCTGGATAAGTCAGGCCATGGCTGAGGAGCCCTGGTCAGAGACATGTTCACATTCTTAGCTATTAGAAGGTTGGCTATAAGCAGCTTCACTTAACAAGTCAACTTACAAACTTCCCCACATACACAGTGTGTTCTTAGTGATTCCAATTTCCCACCAAGCTCTGGTTCTTGAACTGGTTCCGTTCAGGATTCTTGGAACCTCAGTGCTCTTTAGTCAATCAGCCTGCATTTCCACTAGTTTTACTCTTAACCATTTTAATCAAGGATGTGTCACCAGCGAAGGGTGTTGCACAATGCACAACAGAAATAAGCATTAGAAGCAAAATCACAGATTATCTCAATTACCTGCGAACATTTGTTCTTGGTACATACATTTGTTTTTATGCAAAAAAACAAACAAACAAGCATGAACCAACTATTAATGAGACCACTGCACTCTCTTTGATGATTTCTCACTTCAATCAATCAATCAATCTTTATTTATAAATCACTTTTCATACAAAAATGTAGCACAAAGTGCTTTCCATTGACCTCTCCATTGTTGCCCTGTCCATCCTCTTTCCAACCTGTATAGTATGACATGGCCATTGATGTCATCATGGTTCAAACTCCAGTGAAGACAAACCTGCTTTTGGTTCCAACTGAGAACCAACTTTTCAGGGTCTGAACCAATTTATTTATTAGTCAAAATGCTCAGAACGGTTCATAATTAGGTGTAGGAACAGAACCGATTCCATGTTGGTTGAAAAAGAGCATGAGTAAGCGGTTTTATTGGTGCCTTGCTTCATGGGGCCCTTAACAGAAGTGATGGAGACAGTGAAGGCAAAGTCTGAGACACTGAGAGAACTCTTCCACTTTTTACTTCGACTGACCAACACATTGATGATTTGGTGTCCTCCTCCATAGAGGGTAATGTTGACACAATTGTGAGGTAGCCAGGCTCGGCAGGTTTCCAAACAAGGATTATTATTGGCATTTTAACATTTGAGTCTTTCTACGTAATAACCATGTGACATACACACTGAGGGAACATGTATCACAGCAAACAACCACTCCTCTGTGCTCTTCGTCCTTTGTGTCCTCCTCTTCATTATCCAGCTGCCTCCTCTGTGTCTCCTCCTCCACCTCTTCCTCAGAGACATTGAATCCTCCTCCACAGCGACAGCTGTATGTATACACACACTCATCTGAAATAACACACACTCCAATTTTAGAGGGAAAACTATAGATTTACCGGCCCCAATCAGACAGTGAGCATGACCATGTTCCATTATTATGACTGACATTTAACCCAAATCGTAAATGACGACATATGATGACAAGATTATTTTGCTATTCATGCTATTATAAGAAATACATTTTTATATAGGAAAATGATACATATATACACATACATACAAACATACCATTAAACCTCACTTAAAAGTCCAGCCCCTATTAGTAGCCCAGTGTGACTACACATTTTGACAAATAAACGCCTGTCTCAATTAGACGCCTGGTCTGGTTGCCAAGCAGTTCATTTGTTTTATAGAAGGTCTTTGAATGTATAAAAGCAGGTTATTGGCTACCTAAAATGATGTGTCCAGACCACCATAACCCTGTAAGTTATTCCTATTCCTTTAGTCTGTAAGCGTCCTCAGATCAAAAGAATCAAAAAGGGTTTTCCATAAAAATGTATCCAAGTTTTGTTTTAACTGGATAAAGTGGGGTTGTGTCGGTATGCTGGGTGCCATAATCCTTGAGTACTGTAACTCTCTCTCTCTCTCTGATGCGCTGTCTGTCGGAGCTAGATCAAATGAATGATTCATAATTGATTTATAATCTGAAGCCTAAACAATCTGATTGTATTTCCCAATCTTTGCTGATTAAAAGGTATGTGTAAAAGGAATTAAAGGCCTGTCTCATATACTGTAGACGCTTGTCCCAAAGCCTGTTGAGTTCAGTAATTTAATCAAATAACAACCCGGGCTATTAAGTAAAGTTTTATGGTATGCAATGCTTTTACTTTGCTAAAGCAGGTTGTATCATTAAAGTCAGTTGGAATGTAAAATCAATTGAAATTGTCAATTGAAAAATCAATTGACATGCCTCTTCACCTGTTTTCTTGGAAATAGCTGCAAGAAGAGGAAGGACGAATGACGTTATTTTTTTATTGGCTATTTACACCAGGTGCACATTCCCTGTGACAGACTTTACTTTACATTGACACTGAGCATGCTAGGTATTGTATGTGCAGTTACCTTTACCTGCAATACATGAGGGCATGATTATCATGAACGTCAATCCCGGTCTTAATGGTGCATACGCATGGATGCTGCAGCCAGTCTTAAAGGTATATACACACAAATGCTGGTGCCAGTCTAAATGGGTTAATTGGATTATCCAAAACAGACATTCATGTCTTATTATATTAACCTTGAACAGTTTCTCAAATGATGGATTGCCACTGGCACCACTTTGTTGCTTGGTGTTGACTTTGACACTCTTTAACATCATAAAGGTAGTTTTTCAGAGACCTTATTTGAGGCATGAGTGTTTTCGTGTACATGGCGTGTAGTTACCTGGATCCCAGGTCATGTCGTCCAGATAGACTGTAGAATCCACAGGCCAATCCTGTTTCAGTTCCAGTGCTGGTGAAGCATTAAGCATTACATCATTATTTTAGCAAGAGGAGGACAAGCATAAGTGTAACTTTAAATTGATAAAATTACTATTTTTACCCATACACTCAATAACTTATAATGACAAAGTGAAAACATGGTTTTAGAATCTTTTGCCAATTTCAGAAACTGAAATCTCTCATTTACTTAAGTATTCAGGCCCTTTGCAATGGCACTCCAAACTGTGGTCAGGTGCATCCTGTTTGTTTTAATTATCCTTCATCCTTATATCTAAAACTTGATTGGAGCCCATCTGCAGACAACTTTAGTGACTGGACTTAGATTCAAAAGGGCACAAACCTATACATTTAATGTCCCACAATTCACAATTGCCTGTCAGGTCAAAAACCATGCCATGAGGTCCAATTAAAGGAGACCTGTTATGCTTATTTTCAGGGTCATATTGATATAAATATGTAATATTGGGGTCAGGTGGAATAGATTAATGTGCTTTAATGTTTAAAACACACATTATCTGTCTTGTACTGCTCATTGCTTCAACACCTCTGTCTGAAACGCTGTGTTTGACTTATGTCCCGCCTCCCCAGCAGCCCAGTATGCTCTGATTGGTCAGCTCACTCAGTCCGTTGTGACTGGTGCAATGCTTAGAGCGTGTATCGGAAACATCACACCCCTTAGCTTATCTGATTTCACCTGCCGAAAAGAACAACAACTGAGGCTAAGCTAACAATGGCAGCCGTTGGCCCTCATCAATTTGAGTGAAGAAACACGAGCCGATAGACTCCGAAGCTCCTTCGCAACTAACTGTGCATTCACACCAAAAGCGTCATGAGCGCCAGTGGTCGTTCAGGTCGCTGGCATCGCGCTGCCTGGCAGCAGCTCCAGCAGGCGCTTGCAGCGGCCAAAGGGGCGGGGCCGGCTGCTGCAGATGTGTCCATCAAGGCTGACACAGCTGTTCACTTTACAAGGATGAACAAATATACTATCATTTATGTCTTCACTTTGTATTATCCATGACTTTCATTGCACAATTAAAATAACGCTAATGAACACAGTCATATAGCCTTTATGAGTCCTTTATAATTATGATTTTACTCTCCTGTTGGCACATAGGACCACTGAAAAATGTAATTGGTGGTAAATAAGCGGCAGCTCATTAATCGCACTTTGGGAAGCCTCCTTTGTATTGCATCGGCGTATTTGCTGAGGAAACACAGGGCCCGGAGCCTTCTGGCCGTCTGGGTCCACAGAGTCCTGCAAACCCAGCAACTCCACGGTGAATTTCACCGTACAGCTCCGGGGGAGGCTAGACCTCCGTACCCGAATCCCAGTCTGCAATTGGCTGCTGCTTCGGCAGCGGCGCTGCTCATTTGCATAAAGTTCAGCTTCTCTCAACTTCTACTTGATGCTCTGGTCACTGGCATCGCGCCGCTCGCTGCAGCCGATGCCCCTGACGCCCTTCGTAGCAAGCGTACATTGAAAATGAATGGCTGCCGGCCGCTTATGACGCTCATGACGCTTTTGGTGTGAATGCACAGTAAGACCGGAGCAGGACGTTTCATAGTGGTAAGTTATTTTGTAGCTGTCTTATTATTTCAGCTGTAACATGATAATCAGTAGGGATGTCCTGATCCAGCTTTTTCACTTCCGATCTGATACTGATATTACAGCCTTGAGTTTTGACCGATACCGATCCGATCCAAGCACGTATTATAAATATTCACTTATTTTGTTGTCAGTCATGTTAGAAAAGGTTTGATCAAGCAAAGAACAACTACTTAATCAGGTTAGTTAGAATGATCCACAACAGTTGGTATGAGAAACTGACCTGTTTATTGTTAACAGGGTTAAATAAACAAACTTTAAACTTGAACATTAACATTAAATAAAAAATATAGCTGGTTTGCTTTGGCTGCTTTGGCCCCTTAATAAATAGAAAATGAATCAACACAAGAAATCTTTAAAATGTCTAACAATGAAATTAAAATAGCAGCAAGACTCCACACACTTGTGCTTTGCTCCCCTAATAAATAAAAAATAGATTAACACCACAAGACACTGTTGGCATTTAACAAACAATGCAGCCTTTCCTTTTCAGTTATTTTAGTAGTGTTTTTGTAGTCCATCCATGGCTCCAATTTCACTAATTGTGCCCCAAACAATGCTATCAGTGCTCTTTACTTAAACAGTAAGAGTGTAAACCAAATAAAAATATCACTCTCAAAAAACCAGAGCAGAAAACAAATAGTTAACTAAATTGACCGCTACTCTTCCTACCCTCCATGTATGTCTGCCGTCTGCATGCTGGCCTGGTGGACTGATAGTAAGAGCTGGAGCGGATCACTGGAATAGACTGCTTGAATCGCGGAGCGCTGGCCTGGCCGGAAAGCCTGGCACGGAATCTGTGAAAAACTGGATCGGAGTTCATAGATCGGCATTTTTCCATACAGTCCGATCCGATGCTGATGCCCGTTTTTTGCTAATATCGGCAGCCGATACAGATCCGAATATCGGATCAGGACATCCCTAATAATCAGAGACGGCTGGTATAAATGGGCTAGCAGGGCTAAGCCCTGCCTATCTTTTACAATAAAGACAAGAAGATTATTAAAGAAAATATTAAAATATTAGTTACTTAACCTTAGAACTGATTGTTTTTGGTAGTCACAAAAACACAGGATTTATCTAAATGGGCCAATTTTTTACAGCCCATACTCCTAGAATCAGCTTCCAATCATTGTTGTCACATCATGAGTGACAGGTGTCGTGACAAGCCCCCTTGATTTACTGTCCAGTTGGAAAGCATACAGCCAAAACAATGCTGGAGTGGCTTCAGGACAAATCTCTAGTTGGGTTTTCATCCTAAGGTTGTGCAAATTTTAACCAAATTGTCAGAGAATCTGCAAAAATAAAATAAAAATGGACGTTTGTTCATTGAGATAACCAGGAGGCACTAATTCTCAAGTCAGATGCCACAAAGAAGAGGGTGCAGATAATGTGACTGAAAGAGCCCCAGTCAAACCTCAAACCAATGAAAAGAAATAATGAGTGTAAAGTAACAGAGAGTACACTGGACAATGGAAATACAGAGTTTTGAACAAGCAGTTACCTCCAGGGCTGAAAAATAAAAGCCAACACTATAGTTCCAAAATCTGCAGTTTATTGAATGGCCACTTGAGGCTTACTCCAGTCAATCCCCATAGACCCCCATGTTAAAATGTCTAACTTTACAGTAGATATAAACATGTTTACAGCCTGGTACAAAAAAAAAAACTGTTTTCTCTAGCTAATTCCCCCCTTCATGACAACTGCATGGGGGATAAATTTATATATAACTCATCTGACTACATTTTATTAAGACTTAATATTACGCATACTTGAGGGCAGGCTGCTTTCATTGACAAGCTGTCTGCTGATAGTGCCCTCGGCTTCTCAGTCTCCAACCAAGATGGCAACAGCTGAAATGCAGAACTCGAGGCTTCAAAATGGAACTCCTAATGGGTGACATAATGGTAGTTGCATCCATTAATTTTACAGTCTATGGAGTGGAACAACTAATATTACAGCTAAAACAAATAAGGTATAGGATGAAGAAATACCTTTTATATCGATATTGAGCCTTGCCAGTGTTTGCAGTTCTCCCCTCACTGTGCAACCCCGGCCCCCCACTCTCTGTGCATGCTCGCTAACACGGCCCTGCTCGCTCAAGTCCTGCAACATGGAGGGAGCCGAAGCACAGGTCTACACTACTATTGCTGAAGAACTGGTTTGTAAAAAGAAAAACAATGGTTCAATTATTTGGAGCTGGTTCAGATTTAAAATATCTGATGAGCAGCTGAGCCAAGTAATCTGTAGAGAATGCCACAAAGGGGTTACATCTAGTGCTGCACGATCTGATAAAAATGTGCGATTGCGATTTGAGTGGACAATATCGCTATTTGCGATTGCAATTACAATATAATACAAAAAAATGGTATCATTAGTCTTCTTGCTTGATTCAGTGTTTCCCCTACATTATATCAGGGGGGCACTGACCTGACCTGACATAGTTATTGTTATGGACAGTGTAAATGACCATCAACAGATTGCTGTTATTCACAGTCAAACATGCTGCTCACACAGCAGCACAGCACGTCACTGTACCTACAGCAGAGCGAGCCTGTGTTGCATTCAGGCGTTGTCATGTCTATGTTGGTCACTGCTGCACGCCGGGTGGTCACCTCACCATACATGCTGCACACACCAGGTTAGCTTGTGGACGTAATGTCAACAAACTCCACACACTACAGGAGAGGCAGTCACGTTCACAGGCACACAAGTTGACATTTATTTACACTAAATCCAGCCTTTTATGCGATTATGTAATCGCACAGCCTGACATCGCGATTGCGATTAGATTAATCATGCAGCACTAGTTACATCCAAAAGTGGAAGCACTTCAAATCTCTATCACCATTTATAACAGCTCCATAAACTTCTGTACAAGGAGTGTGTTAAACATTGTGGCCTCTGCCTTGGCTGCAAAACCCTCGCAGTCTACTGCCTTGAAACAAAGCCTGATGCAGGCCTCGTTTACCTGTGGTGTGCCCTATGAAAAGAGAAGTGCCAAGTGGCGCAATATAACTAATGCGGTGTCCTACCACATCGCTAAACATATGGTCCCTGTTGCAACAGTGGAACAAAAAGGCTTTAAAAAGTTGCTAGTGCAGTGCTTTGGGCACCAACTTCACCTGGCCATTGGTGAGTGCAGTGTTTAGGGAAATGACTCTGGGAAAAAAAGTACATGCCAGGCCTACCATGCTAAGCAAAACGATTGTTTGCAGTAAGATCACTCACAGTAACGCTATTTTATCAGTATATTCGATGGTGGAATGTAATTAACTACAGTTAAGTGCTGTACTTGTAACTGAGTCTTTGCTTTACATGCTACTTTATATTTCTACGTCATTTCAGAGGGAAATATTGTACTTTTTACTCCTATACAATTATCTGAGAGCTCTAGTGACTTT